TGCAAGGCAAAGCCAGGAGCGGAACACAGTTCAAGAGGCGTGCATGCTACACGCTGTCGCAGACGAAATAAAAACATCGCTAAAATCTCATAGTATGAAATGTGCACTGCAAAATATGGTAATCGGGGGAGGAAGGCTCATCCCCTAAAAGTTCCGGAGTCTATCAGTTCTTGAAACACCCTCAGAGGACAGCTACGTGGGTTAAGTGTTATAACATTGCACCTGCAACTATCCTTTCAAGAGCATCGTGAAATTCTATAGAGCAAGTCTTCTAAGGGATTTAATCCATGCTGTGCTACCTTTTTTTCCAAATTCTCCACAGAAGGGAAGTAACTTCCCATGGCGCCAAAGGGACAGACAACTCTAAGGTGTTTAGAAATGTCATGTCATACCAGAGCAAGATGATCGGGCAGCAGAACACAACTCAGTGCATGTATTAGTAGAATACAGCGAGGCCATTTCTTCACGCTCATCCTAAAGAAATAGCTTTCTCATCTTTGGCTGAAGCACTTTCCTTGTACCCAACCTGACACGACAAAGGTCACGCGACTGATCTCAAGCCTTAAGAACACCTGCCTTAGGCTACTCATGTGAGCAGGGCATCCTTCGGAGTTCATCATCTAAACATTTGTTAGAGACTCTCCCGACTTTGGTGTTCATTTTCAGATATCTGACATTTGATAACAAGCCAGCCGCCTGGACATACAATCCTAACATCCAAACTGTCTGAATGTTAGCCCAGAATATGCTCCTCAATAAAGCATTTTCATAACTTCGAGTGTAAGGACTCCTCTTCTCCCAAATGATATTGCCTCTCTCTGTATCACTTAGTGTCACATCTAGCATTGATGATAGACTTCTCAGTGCACATGAGCTTGAAAAAAAACACAACAACAACAAAAGTAACCACTGCTTGCTGCCAATTGAGTTTTGTTTAGAGGAGGACCGTCAAATGCCATTTCTTTGGCATACCAGGGCGGCTGCCACTTGCAAATAGTTGTAAAGTCTAAAGGACAGGACAGGATAGAAAGAAAGAAAAGGAAAAGAGAAAATGCTGACAGCTTCTGTTGCGATTCCTAAAAAGCCAGGGTCATGCTTTGTAGAACCATTTCAGTGAGCAGTAGAGCCAGGAAGGCAGCTGCAGGCTGTTCAAAAAGTAGCAAGGATTCGGATACATTGTCTTCAATAGCGGCTCACCAAGGATACTATACGGAACAAAATTTTCCGTGCTAGCACGAACAAAGAGAAATAGAAGTAAACTAAGTTCTCAGTTTCTAAACGTTTGTTTTCCGATAGGTGAACACGCAGAACATTCTTACCAAAAAAAAGGGGGGGGGGCAAAAAAAACCAACAAAAAAACCCAACCCACAAGGCCACGAGGTGGCACTGGTCAAACACTCGAGAAATCGCCGTGGAGCTGCCCGCGGGTGAGGATCGGGCCCTGTTCCCCAGTCAGCGCTGGCGAGGCTGGGCTGCGCACGGCACGCACGTGTGCCTGCGTTTCTGGTGAATTACCTAAAACTAGTTGATATTGGCTATAGGAGAAGAGAAAACCTTTGACCCACGGGGAGACCGACCGGCAGCGTTAAAGTAAAAGTTTGGTTCCAGCGAGAGGGAGCTTCGCTAGGCCACCGCTTGGCGTTACACGTTCACGGCCGTTTGGGTAGCCTACAGCCAGATTCGCTCTGCCCCTGGGCCAAAGGGATCCGGCTGGAGACAAGCCCCAACACTTTCTCTTGCGCCTCCCTCACGGCAGATTTGTCCACACCTCAGCAAAGTATTTATTGCCGATTGCCCGTACTTGGAGCTCGGCGTGTTTCCTCAAGTCCACCTCCAGGCTTCTGGACCCGATGAGCAAAGCTCAGCGTTGCAAAGTTTCCATCCTCGCACGGCTCCCCAGGATAAGATCTGCTGGGCCGCGGCGCCAGCGATGGCGAACCATCCCGCCTGCCTATTTCCTAGCAGGCGGGAAAAGCCGGATCTATGGCCGACAGC